AAACTGTAATCCTTTGCATATTAGTAGAATTACCCTGGAGTGGAACTGAGGACAGGGATCTTCGGTGGCTAAAGCAAGCATGAAGAAATGGGCCTTACAATATATAGAAGGTTGCTAAGATAAACTTCACTTACTTTGTTGCTTCTCTAAAGTCTCAGCTCTATGCCATTAAGAACATGTAAGAACATGTTTTTAATGGCATGTAAGAACAATAATGAAAAATAAATTTCATATGATATTAGTTTTTACAGAAATAACACTGATTTAACTTTATTGATTCTAGGTTTAATTTTCTTCATGCTAGCTTGCTTTATTTTTCTTTCATCCATACTTTTTTAAAGGCTTAAATTACTTATTGTTAGAAATATTGTTCAGTTGAGAATTATATATAATTCATAGAGATCATTTTAATACTTGATGTCTTAAAAGTATTTTCAGTTATTTGGAGGGAGAAAAATTGCTATAGTCTTCTTTTTTTTTTTTAACAGAATAAATTTAAACGTGAAGAAAAAACAAATGGATGGAGAATAGACAAAGCATTTCGTAAGTATTAGGTTGTCTTTTACAGAGTACCATTTGGAAATCCTGAACAAGGATCATCTTTGATATTGGTGTCAGTGTGTTTTACAGTTGTTTTGACCCTACGCTGGCATAGGAAGACTAGAAGTTTTTCTGTTTTGCAGTAGGAGTCTGGTAGTTGCCACAAATGCAAAGACAAGGGAGTAGTTAAAATAGCAAAAAGCAGTTCAGAATTCAGAGTCTTCAGAGCCTAGGAACTAAAGACACTACTTTTCCTGTAATTTCCTTTGAGTGCAGCACGTGGATTTAGACTTGATTCAAGAAATGACAGACTATTCAGCTCCTAGCTCGCGTCTTCAAAACATTTTCCTCTGTGTAAGTCTAGAGAAAGCCTCAAGAGATCTATAAGGAAAATGATTAAAATTAAATGTATTGTTTTTATAGTACCTAATTCCTATATTCTTCGTTTGGAAGATATTTATTGTTCATGGGCCTATAATTATCAAAAGGAGGCCTAATGGCACAGTGGCACAGTGGCTAAGAGCTTGCCACAGTTTGAGCCTACTAGCTTCTGCACAGTCTGCCTCCATAAAGATTATAGCTGTGGACAGTCAGCATCCCTAAAGATTGAAACTAAGAACTCCCGCTGGGACAGTTGTACTTTGTAGGCTCACTGTGAGTCAGAATTAACTTGAAGACATGGGTTTTGGTTGGCTATCATTATCAAAAGTTCTGTGTTTAAAGTGTTCACTGTCCGTTTGCCATAGTGGTAATCTTAGAAAATAATCTTAGTTTGTTGAGACTTCAGGTTGTGTCACATGTACACTTATTTTGTGAATAGACATTAAAGTAAGATGAGTGAACCTTATAATACTTGGTGTTTTATTAGCGTCTAGGAATAGTTCCTGGTAAACTAGTGTATTGTGATCGTCAGTCCTTTTCATTTTAGAGAATTGGTCTTGAAACGTAAAAAAAATTATATTTACCACATAATCAGAACAAATCCAAAGATCTATAAGCATTGTTTGGGTATGAATAATTTTTATTAGGAACTTTAATAAATATATTTGAAACTCAATGATTTTGGAGGTTTGTAATAGAGAATTAAAAAAATAACCACACTGCTTCCATGTTGAATGACTGCATATTACTTACTTGTAGAAACTTACATGTTGCGTGCTGAGATCCAGGCAGAGATTCATTTTTTTAAGAGCCAGTCAAATTCAGCAGTGGGGTTTGTATACCAACTTTAGTGCCACTAACGTCAATAAGTTCTGATAAGCCACTACCATCAGACCAGCCCCGTGCGGTCTTTATGGACTGTTTTTAGTTTGAACTGTAATGTAGAGGGTCTGAATAGATAAAGGCTGGGTTCACATAAACAAGGCCTTAGGAATTCCAAATTTAGAGTTGGCTTTATAAAACGAACTTGTTTTTGTTTTGGTATATGCCTCTTTTTTTTTTTTTTTAAACTGTTGTGTAACCGAACCAGTTACCAGCTGATGTGTACACAGCACAGCTTTTCTACAAGCATTGTATTTTAGATTTAGTGAGTTTGGTGAAGGAGTTGACTCCTATCGTGGATGCATTCCTGAGTGGTTGACTGCTCTTGAGTATAGTGCTGTTAATGGGATTTAATGAGTGTGATCATCATCAGTATTCATTTCTTTTCCTCTGCCAGCTTTTGAAATAGTGGAGTTAGATGTAAGGTGGCTGTTAAAGGCTTGTTGAAGACCTCGTAGACATTTCCCTATTTTAAAATTTATTTATAATAAGGATGCAGTTGGATGAGTTTGACAATGAGTAAACCCATATAACCACTCCCCAAAACAAGATGTAGGGCACTTACTATACTTCAGAGTGCCCTTTTTATAATATCCACTGCTGTTCTGTTCCAAAGCACCTATTATTTTACTTGAAATTCCATATATTAATTTAGTTTGAGAATATATTATTCATGGAATCAAACACTTGTGCACTGTGTTTGGCTTCTTTCACTCTGTTTTTGATATTCATACATTATTGTGTGTCTCAGTTGTTCCTTTTATTGCTGAGTAATGTCCATTTGTGTAGTTATATTATGGTGGATGGAGTTGCTTTTATATATTTCTTATGATAGGCATATTCATTTGCTTTTGATCTTATGATGCTTTAAAAAACCAAAACTTGAAACTTCTTTCCCTTTTTTTCTTAAACAGAGGAAAAGCGTCCTTTTGACTTCGAATTTTTTGCTCATTTGCTTCAGAAAGTTCTTGCTGAAGAAGAGAAAAGAAAACAAAAATCAGTTAAAAATCAGAATTCAAAAGATAAGAAATCGTCCAAATCACAGAAAAAAGTAAAAGGTATTTATGTTACAAGAAGTTGTGCTATTTTAGTTAGTAGTAACATACTGGGGGCTTCAAAAAGTTTGTGGGGAAAAAATGTGATGTTTCCACAAACTTTTTGATGTCCCCTCGTATTTGTAATATCTCTTAAATCTTTAAGAGTTCACTAGAGAGAATTGTTTTCCCCCCCATTTAGTTATCTAGTCCAAAGAAGCAGCTTCTTTTAAAATTTCATAATTTACATGGCTAGATTATTTGTCATCTTTCTAGCACATGGTTGTTGATGCCTTTGAATTGGTTCTAATTCATAGCAACTCTTTGTCCAATAGCACGAAACACTGCCCAGTCTTGAATCGTTCTCAGTCGTTGCTGTGTGTGAGCCCTTTGCTGTGGTCACCATGTCAGTCCAGCTCACTCAGTCTTCCTCTTTTTCACTGACTGTCTGCTCTCTCAAGCATGAGGTTCTTTTCTGGGACTGGACCTTCTTGATAACATGTCCAGAGTACATGAGACAGTCTCACCGTCCTTGCATCTATGGAACATTCTGGCTATACAGCTTCCAAAATCAAGAACATACTTACAGTTACTAAAAGCATCAGAATTTTGGAGTTTAATTTTTTTCATGCTTGATTATTTATATTAATTTCTTCTCTCAAAATCTGGTACAAAATTCTAATGTTTGAAAAAATGGAACTGTTGGGTTGCACTAGATTATATTGTTTGTGCTCAGCGTATTTTTGAAGGTTGCTGTATAAAATTGCTTATTAGCCATTTCAGTTTTTAAACTTACATTTTCTTAACCATTTGAACTCTAAGCTATGAAAACAGTATTTAGCTTAAGCACATGATTTGGAACTTCAAGGAACCTTCCAACCTAGCTTGGCTCCTTTTCCATTTGTTTTACTCACACAGAAACAGACCTCCAACAGAGGTCCGTAGTCACTTTTCCCCAAGGTCTCACAGTGTTAGTAGCAGCAAAACCTAAACCTAGGTCTACGAGAGCTTGTGTTGTGGACCCCCAGGACCACCCCAAGTTCAGTGATTCATTGGAAGAGTCATAGGACTCAGCATGTAGTTGTTGTACCTATGATAAAGATCTATGACAGCAGAAGGATCCAGAGCAACTCGGATCCTATCGTATTTATCCTTCTGTGTCTGACTTATTTTACGCAACATCTGTTTTTAAAGTCATCCATATCATAGCATGTATCAGGACCTCTTAATGGCCGATATTGAGTAATAGCCCACTGTGTATGTACCACTTTTATTTATCCAGTTATCCTGGGTTCTTTGTAGATGTCAGCTGTTGTGAATAATGCTGCAATGAACAACTCTGCTTTCAGGTCTCTTAGGCATATACCTAGGTGGTTCATATTGAGGAATTGTCAAACTTTTTCACATTATGCATTCTTAGCAGGGCTTCAAATTGGCCTTGACACAGTGTACACATTACACAGCAACAAAATCACATGTCCATGAAATTTTGACCTGCGTCAGAAATGGGAAGCAGGCAAGGCAACTGACTGCTTTTACATATACTGGAAGCCTTGTTTCTGTTAGCCATGACTGAACTGTTTCAAACTGTTCCAGAGGTCTGCTTGTCAGTAATGTACAAGTGTTCCAGTTTCTCCACATTCTGCCAACATACTAGCTTCCATTTTTCTGGTAACTGCCAGCTCCCAACACTGCTGCCCAAGAACCCTTGCCTAGAACCAGCCCTCTACTTCCCCTGCGTCTATCCCTTAAGTGGTCCAGTGCTACAAGAAGCTGGACTTGGGGACTTTAAAACCACTGGGGGCAGTAATAACAAGGAGAGCTGTTTTCCCATTCAAAGCCAAACCGAAACAGAACCACAGACTATGTTGTGACACTATGAACAACATACGTGCCTGCATCTTGTTTGGTGGTAGAATGGCTGTTTGAGTCTTTGGCCCATGTTTGGATTGAATTGTTTTTCTCTCTATTATTAGGTTATAGAAATTCTTTATATATTCTGGATATTTTCAGATATTTGATAGTCTGGTATCAATTTCTCACAATCTTCATTTTGTTGACAAAATCCTTTGTATAAAAAGTTTCTGCTTTCATGAGGTAGTGACGGGATCACATATTAGGTATCAAAAGATCCAAAACAAAATAATTATATCGACGCACACGAGCGGGGGCGGGATGGAGTAGAGACAATTGGACATCCCCTTACAGAATGGTCACAAGGAAGGGAAGAGCCAGCCAGGGTGCAGTATAGCACCGACGAAACACACAACATTCCTCTAGTTCCTGAATGCTTCCTCTCCCTCACTATCATGACCCAATTCTACCTTAAAAATCTGACTAGACTAGAGTTTGTACAGCAAAGAGCTTGTACTAGAGTTGTTACAGCAAAGAGCTCCCAACACGTGGAATCTAGGACAGATGAACTCCCAGGATGAGTAGTGGATGTAGTGATACCATGAAGGTAGGGGGAAGGTGGGTATAGGAAGGGGTAAAAGGGGGAACTGATAGAAAGTTGGAAATATAACCCCGCCAAGGGGGATGAATAATAGAAATGTGAGTGAAGGGAGACAAAGGACAGTGTAAGATACAAAGTAACAATTCTAATATATAATTGATCCAGGATTCAGGAGGGTGGCAGGGAGGGAAAAAAGAGGTACTGATACCAAGGGCTCAAGTGGAAAGAAAATGTTTTGGAAATGATGATGACAGTATATGTACAAATATGCGTAATACAGTTGAATTATGGATTGTTAGAGAAGATTTGTAAGAGCCCCCCAGTAAAGTGATTAAAAAAAAAAGCAATCTGCCCCACCATAAACATTCAAAAAAAAAAAAATTTCAGTTTTAATGAAGTACAGTTTATCTATTTTTCTTTTCCTATTTCTGCACTTGATGTCATATAAAGTCCATTGTCAAAATTAAAACCTTAAAGTCTTACCTCTTTTTTGGGGGGTAGCTTAAGATTTTAGTCCTTCTATTTAGAGCATTGGCCAATTTGAGTTTATTTTTGTCTATGAGGTGATGTCTGAGACCAATCATTCATTTATATGCGGATATCAATCATCCCAACCACCATTTATAGAGGTGACTATTCTTTCTGTATTAAGTGATCAAATTAAATATTTCTTAGTGATCAAATTAAATATTTTTAGAGAATACGAGGGGGTACCCCCCCCCAAAAAAAAACCCGGCTGTGAAATGTTATTTCCTGCTTGGGAAAAATGTCCCAGAAACTTTTGTGATGTTGAACACAGCTTACAAGGACAGCACTATCAAGTGTATGAGTGGTTTTCTTGTTTTAAAAAAGGTGAAATGTCAATTGATGACAAACTGTGTTCTGGATGTCTGTCAATTTCCCAAACGGACGAAAATGTTGAACAGATGAAAATGTTGACTCATAGTACATTTGAAGTTTGTTCCACCAGGTCAGACTGTTAATTCAAGCTTTCTAGTTAGAGGTTCTGAAAAAATAGTGGAAACGTTTGTGACAAAAAAGGCCTGATTTGTGGCAGACGGGGGACTGGTTTTGTCACCACTACAATGCACCTGCTCATGCAGCCATCTCAGTGCACCGGTTTTTGGTAAAAGACATCATGCCTCTCTTGTCTCACACCTTAGTCACCTGATCTTGCTCCATGTGACTTGTTATTTTGTTTCTGTGACTGAAGAAGGACGTGAAAGGATGGCGATTTGAGGACATAGAAGAGGTGAAGAAAAAATGAGGAAGGTGCTGTCAGCCATCCAAAAAGATGCATTTGAAAAATTTTTCCATAGAATTGCAGATTCGACAAATGTAGTTTGTAAAAAAATTTAAATACATAGCTTTGGGTGAAAAAGTTCCATTTTTGTTTTGGGTACCCCCTCTTATGTCACATTAACCATGATTATGAAATTAAGCTTGTTATTGCTAGGGAAAGTGTTTCCATGGTGTTCTGTACTATTTGCTTTTTTTTAAACATAATTTTTGATTTCTTCATTTGATACAGTTAACTATTACCTTAATAGGAAGGTCCTAAACATTGGAAACAAATGACAGAAAAGTTTTCTATCTTTTACTGTACTGTCAAATTAGAGACAGTGCTTTTTATACCTTTTTCTGTTCATATTGGTGTGTGTGTGTGTGTGTGTTACAGAGTAAGCATAATTGTTCTTGTGTTTGATGAGTACACATAATTATTTTCGTGTAAGTAGAATGAAAATGTATAGTTCTACAAGTTATTTTATGTAGTATGTGTTTTGAGACTCTTTTACATGACTTCATATAGACCTATCCTTGTTATTGACTGCTTTGATTTTTATAGCATAACTTTATTATAACTGAAGCAGGCATATCCTATGGGGCATTTAGATTATCTTCACTTTTTTATTGTAAATTAGGTAGATCAGATCGTCAACTTTGTATTCATCAGATTAAACTGCTAAGCCTCCCTCTCCCCACTCGTTTACCCCTTCTCTAGCTCCTTTATTTCTCTTCCTCTTCTTTCTCTTGTGTGTTACTGTTTTCCACTTCAGTTTTTATTTAAATACAGTACCTCAGAAGACAGCCGTGTACATTTTGTTCTCCGACTTTAAGAATGTTTCTGTAGGTGATTTATTCACTCATAGCACTTTGCTTGTTTTCAGTGAAAAGGGCTGTCAGTGAAGGAATGAATGAGAGTTCAGATGAGTCTCTGAGTAGTAAGATTGCAGACACAGAAAGACATGAAGAAGATGTTCAGACAATTGAAGAACAAGAACCAACGCTGACTTCATCAGAACAGGATCCAGGACAGGCTGTGTTAGAATCAGACCTACATCAAAAGCAAAAGAGGAGGAGGAATCGAGATCAAGCTGATGAACAAGAAGTAAAAAGTCTTCTGGGAAATGGTACTGTCGGGTCAGACCCTTCTACGGGAGAAAAGCACAAAAGTACGTTTTACATTTAAATGGTTGCTTCGTGATACTGGCTTAGGCCTTGTTATTTATTATTGCTTTTAAACTTCGCTGTTTTTAACTATAAGAAAAACTCTAAAAAAACAATACATTCATGTCAAGTGGGGAAATTTTTCTCTAAATTTATTGTTACCTTTTGTTAACATAGGTTAAAGGCCACCTGTATGTTCTTTATGATTAATAATAGAGCTGCTAGGTTTTGCTTGTACAAAGCACCTTGAGCTTACAATGAAGTGTTTAATTTCTATAAAAAGGCCATTAGAATAAGTATTCCCTTCATATTTCTTGCGTTATACTCCCTTAGAAGGTAGGCATGTTGTCATTTGTGAATTGTTAGAGAATTAGGGCTAAGAATTAAGGGAACGTTTGATTTTTTTTTTCCTTAAGAGTTTATAGACTACTTAAAGATTATTTATAGATTACTTTGAAGGAGGAAAGATGTTAGAATATCTTAGCATATTAGAAGGAGGAAAGATATTAGTCTTAGATAGGAGAAAAAGATGATTAGCTGACTAGAACAACCTTCTTGTAGAGTTCAGATTTTATGTAGTTCATCTTCACCAATATGCTTTGTATAAGTGAATTCAGCCAGTCAGCATGGTGTGATAAAAGATATCACAACATTTGTGGTTAGTCTTAGTTTGTTAGGGATAAACTGTAGTCTGCTAATGGCAAGGTCAGTGATTCAAGCCCATTAGCAGCTCTTCGGGAGAAAGATGAGGCTGTCTGCTTCTATAAAGAGTTATAGTCTCAGAAACGCTGGGTCAGGGTTGCTGTGAGTTGGAATAGCGTCTGATTCAGAGACGTTTCATAGGAAGCAGAATAGCTTAATGATTATAAAGTAGAGCTTTAAATTTGATCTTGATTTAAATCTAGTTAAATCTTGATTTAAATCTATAGTACTTGCTGAATGTATAGCCTTGGGCAAGTCACTTAAGATCTCTATGATGGGAATAATATGAATACCTATTATGAGATGACGCATCCGAACGACTTAGCAGAGTTTCCTATCACAAGGTCACTATTCAGTAAATGTGCTATTAATGACAGCGTCTGAAAGAGCAGAATAACAAACAAGTCTACTTTTCATTGCTTGATTCTATAAAAAAATAAGTCATTGTAACCATTTAACACTTAAGCAGGATTAAAGGAAGGTGCTACAAGATTCCCAGGGAATTTTAGGCTGCGTCTTAAAACACAAAAGAGATACAAGTTTTTATTATGCTCTAAAAATACAATATATGCTTTACAAAAAAGAACTTGAACATTGAATGAATTAATGTTTTTTAGGAAAAGAAAACACTATGTGTAAATTTCTTCCTGCTTTAAAAAAGAATTGAAGAGCTGTTTTTGCTGTCCTTTTAAAGAACAACCTGCATTTTGTATTCATAGATGAATGTGAATCTTTAATGCCAGAGGTAAACGAAGGTGAATGCAGTAGGGACCAGACACTGTCCTGCTTACAGAACGCAGATGATATCGTGGGTTTACCTTCCAGTGAAAAAGATGAGGAAAGAACTGACCCCATCCGTTCATCAAGGTAGTCTCTCTCCGTACTGATTTTACTGGTAGAGTAGTGTTGGATCATCCTAGCTGGGTCTGCTTATTTCTCTTTATAGTTTACTTTTGCTTCATGTATTTTGAAGTTCTGTTGTTTGGTACTTACACCTCTAGGATTGTCTTGTCTTTTTGTGGAAATGACCCTTTTATCATTATGTAAAATTCTTTATCTCTGGTCATTACATTGTCCTGCATCATCTCAATGTTTTTGACATATACAGTTCGTTGACATCAATTAAATTCATCTCATCATGCTGTGGGACTATCACCCCTATCCACTTCCAAACTTTTTCATCACTCTTACCAGAAATTCATTGCCTCTAGTCATTGGCTCCCTCTTCATCCCTTTTATCTACTCTTGGTAACCACAGAAACTTTTTCTATATATCTGCCTATTCTAGATTTCCTATAAGTTGGGTTATGCAATATTTGACCTTTTTTGGTGACTGCCCTATTTTACTCAGCATAGTATAGTTAAGGTTCATATCCATGCTGTAGCATGTATCAGGACTTAATTTTTCTTTCTGGCTGAGTAGTATTTGGTTTTATGTATGCATCACCTTTTGTTTAACCATTCTTCTGTTGATGAAAATTTAGTGTTTTCCCTACCATATGGAAATTGTAAGTAGTATCACAGTGAACATTGTTGTTCATGTGTGTATTTGTGTTTCTGTGTTCAATTGTTTTGGGTAGACCTACGTGTTAGGCCAGGTTGACTAGAGAAGCAATCCAATGACACTCATATATGTGTAAGAAAGAGCATTATATCAAAAAGTAATAATAAATCGAGAAAACTCACGCAGCCACATGCAATGATGCGAAATGCAGGAGGATCACAGGCTGGTGGGAATAATGGTGGTGGACGCATCACAGATCTCTGACAGGTCCCCGAGTGGCTTGCCAGCAGGAAGGGGAAGGCTGAGGGAAGGGGAGCTTCTCAGGGCCCTGTTTATGAGAGGCCATGCCCATAAGTAGACACCATCAGACTATGACCTGATTGACAATTTGAGTACCACCCCTATACTTTTATATATCTTCAAGTTGACATGAAATTAGGTAACTAGCAACCTAGGAATGGAATCACTGGATCAAATGAAAAGCTATGTCAGTTTTTTTTTATTAGCCACCAAAGTTTTCCACAGGGCTATCCTATTTTACAGCCTCATTGACAATGGGTGGAAGGTTCCAGTTCCTCCACAACCTTACTCTTATCTGTTGTTTTCTATGGTTTTGACATAGCTACTTACTGGGAACAGAGTGCTATTTCATTGTAGTTTTGATCTGCATTCATGTAGTGACTAGTGATATGGAGAAGTCTTTTCATGTGCTTGTTCGATAGTTGGCTTCTTCTTTCAATAAATGTCTGTTTAGGGCCTTTGACCAGTTTTTGATTTTTTTTTGTGGATAAATAATAGAAGTTTTTGGATTAGAATCCTTGGTGGCAGAGTTGTTACACTTTGGATTGCTTGCTAACTGCAAGATAAGCAGTTTAAAACCACCAGCTACTCTGCAGGAGAAGGACAAAGCTTTCTGCTCCCGTGAAGAGTTGTTGTTAGGTGTCCTTGAGTTGGCTCCGACCCATGCTGACCTTATGCAGCATATTATGAAACTGCACCGTCCTGCGCCGCCCTCACAGTTGTTTCTATGCTTGAGTCCGTTGTTGACAGCCATAATGTCCATCCATCTCCTCGAGGGCCTCCCCTCCTTTGCTGCCCCTCTACTTTACCAAGTACGACGTTCTCCAGGGGCAGGTCTTGCCTGATAACATGTACAAAGTATGTGAGCTGAAGTCTCACCACCCTCATCTCTAAAGATCATTCTGGCCATACTTCTTCCAAGACAGATTGGTTTGTCCTCAGCAGCCCATAGTACTTTCAGTGTTCTTCTCCAGCTCCACAATTCAAATGCATCGTTTCGTCTTCCATCTTCTTTATGCAGCATTCAACTTTCCCTGGCAATGGAAAATACCATGGCTTGAGTCAGGCACACCTTATTCTTCAAAGTAATATCTTTGCTTTTCAATACTCTAAAGAGTTCTTGTGTGCAGAATTACCTAATGAAACTTGTCTATTGATCTCTTGAGTGCTGCTTCTGCGCATTGATTGTGGGTCCAAGCAAGACAAAATCTTCTCCATTTATCAGGATGTTACTTATTGGTCTAATTGTGAGGACTTTGGTCTTCTTTACATTGAGTTGTAATTCATATGGAAGGCTGCAATCCTTAATCTTCATCAGTAAGTGTTTTAAGTTTTCCTGACTTTCAGCAAGCAAGGTTGTGTTGTCTCCATATCTCAGGTTGTTGAAAAGTCTTTCCCCAATCCTGCTGCCACGTTCTTCTTCATGTGGTCTACTTTCTCTATGAGTACATTTGTAGGCATCCTTTTTATATCTGTGAGTATAATCCATCCTCTTTCCCACACTTGCTCATCTGTCTTGTAGAAGATTAAAGCTGTTATTGCAGGATTGTGTACATACTAGTATATACCTTTGTTGTATGTTATGCATCTTATAATTTTTGTCAAATGCCAGATAATATTATATTTGACAGTGGAAAATTTGTTCTTTGGGCAGTCCATGGTATTTTCAGTATTCTTTGCCAGCACCGTAACACATATACATTGATTCTTTTTCAATCTACCTTATTCAATGTCCAATTTTCATTTGAGAAGTGAAACTATTGCCTTTAGAAATATGTAGACATAAATGAAGGATATGTTAAGAAACAATAGCTTCACTTTTTATATATTTACTAATGATTCATATGATTTTACACCATAGTTTCTTTACTACCCTCATATAAAGAACTCGTACTGCTAATTAGGAAAAGACGAGTAACCCATTTAAAAGAATGGGCTAAGAAAAAAGCATGGCCAAATGTGCTAACACTAGTTGCTAATGAGTAGATGCTCTCAATTAAGCTGTTGTTAGATGGAATATTTACAATATGAAGGGTCTGTAAAAAGTTCATAGAAAACGAATTAAATGTAAAATTTCCACAACTTTTGCAGTCCCCTTATACAATGGTAGCCTTTGCTTTATACAGTATGGTATAAACTGCAACTCAAACATGTAGCATCTCACTGTACAGCTTTTGGCTCTCAGTGCCATGCAAAGCGAGGACTCCCATATGCAATTTTCATAAAAGATATTCCTAACTTACTCTGATTTTACATGTACATTACACTTTTACACTTTCCATGTAAGTAAAACCTGATCATTTTGCAATTTGTGAACACATTTCTAAGTATTTTCTCTGTTCATTTATGACTGCTGATGATTCTGAAGATATAGTTCTTTATAATATAATACAAGAAAATAGGAACACAGATAAAATTATTTTTTATTTTTCCATAGTATGAGAGATCACCTTCCCTCATATTACATTGTTTTTTGTATTTTAAAAAATCTTTAAAATAATTAGCATAAAATATATTATTACTAAGGATTCTTTTCCTTTCGGTATGTTTTCGTTTCTTTAGTACTCAGCAAGATGACATTTCAGAACCAAGCCCTTCAGATTTACCTCCTGCAGAAGTTACAGCTACAGCATTGTCTGAGGTGAACAGCGCTGAGAGTAGCAGCACAGGAGAAAGAAATGTTGATGGAAAAGATAAGTCACTGTAAGTGTTATATATGGTAGGGTTTATTTTTACATTTTTGCTGTTTCTGGATTTCTAAAAAGTTTTGTAAGATTTTAAATTATAATACTATTGCTTCCTCTGATTGTCGTGTTAGAATGAGGTAATGTTTGTTGAGTCTGCTCTAACTCATGGTGACCCCACAGGAACGTACTTGGCTCCCGTTAGCCTTGCCCATAAACTTTGCTATTAAATTTTTTGCGTAGTGCAGTATTAACTGCAACTTAACATAATACCATGCTATAAAAACTAGTCTTTTACAAAGTACAGTTTTAACTGTAACTTACTTTTTACATAGTACAGTATTAGCTGCAATTTTCAGTCTCTAGTTTTATTTATTGTGGTACATCTATAGATAAAAAATATTTACCACTTTAATAATCTTTACATAAAAAGTTCAGTGACATTATATTTCACATTTACAACAATTTGCGAATTATTTTGTGAGAATTGTTCATATCCTGTGCCCAGTATTTTAATGAGTTTTTGGTCATAATTATTTTGAACACCTTATATGTTAGGTAAGCTAGCTTTTGGTTAATGAGTCATACAACACAATTTCCTGGCTTGTCATTTACCATATATACTCGAGAATAAGCCTACCCAAATATCAGCTGAGGCACCTAATTTTACCACATAAACGGCATTAAAAATGTTCTGAAACAATTGGCTTATACATGAGTATACATGGTAAATTTTGACTTATATTTTGGAATTTTGATTATGTATAATTTTAAAAGCTTATGTTGTTTGTTTTCTCAGTTTTTCTGTTATGAATGGAGTTTTTATTACATTTTAGAAAGACTTATCCCACTTAATGTTAATAAAATAATGTATTCCTTGGTGGTTTCAGTTAAAACTTTGGCCCATTTGAAATATATAATGAATGCAATGTAAAGAATGCAGACATTTGTTCTGGGTGTTTATTATTTTCTACTGTGATTTTTAAAGTTTTCTTAAATATTTTACTGTGTACTCACTGATAAGACATGCTATGTTTATTATATACTAAAATCATGTGTATTTTGGGGAGAGGGGTCATTTTGGATTTTCTGCTTTGTTCCACTTACTTGTTTATTCAAAGCCATATTATTATTTTATTTATTTAGTCATACTATTTTAATTACTGATTAATTACTAGTATAATATAGTGTATTTTTAATATCTCTTAGAGAAGACTAGGTACCACCCTCATTGCTTGAAGTAAATTTTCGAGGGAATTCTTCTTGGCTTTGGGTGAATTTTATGAGCATGAGTATAATATATTAGATATAATTTGTTAAATGTTAATTTTTTTAGAGAAACAAACCGAACTGAAAATGCTAAACCGAGGGGGCGAGGACGGTTCCAGAAACCTAAACCCAGTTTATCAAGAGCTGTTGTGAAGACACCAGCCAGTTCACACAGTAAAGCAGCCTCAGAGAGCAAGCGTCCACATGCAGAAACTTCTGTTGAGAAGGTATGGAGTAAAAGCTCTCATCCCCTACCTCACGTTGATGCCAACTCATGGTGACCTTAAGGGCAGGGTAGAACTGCCCCTGTTCGTTTTCCAGACTGTAACTGTTTCTCGGAGTAGAGAACTCCATATTTCTCCTAAAGAGTGGCTGGTAGTTTCAAACTGCTGGCCTTGCGGATTGAAGCTAAACATAAAATCATTGTGCCACCAGGACTTTCATAGAAACCAAAATATAAAAATTTTTCCTAAAAAGCAGGGAAAATGTTTTATAGTGTATTATTACAAAGTATTGCTACTTCACCAGCCTTTGCAACCACGAGGTGTCGAAGGGATCAGGTATAAGGCATTATCAGAACAAAAAATCTTACCATAGTGAGTGATGGGGGGAGTGCGGAGTGGAGACCCAAAGCCCATTAGTAGGCCACTGGAGATCCCCTTGCAGAGGGGTCTTGGGGAGGAGATGAGGCAGTCAGGGTGCGATGTAACAACGATGAAAAATACAACTTTCCTCTAGTTCCTAAATGTTTCCTCCCCGCTCTCACTACCATGACTCGAATTCAACCTTTCAAGTCTGGATAGATCAGAGGATGTACACTGGTACAGATAGGAACTGAAAATCCAGGGAATCCAGGGTGGATGAGCCCTATAGGACCAGTGGTGTGAGTGGCGAAACAGGGAGGGTAGAGGGAGAGTGGGTAGGAAAGAGGGAACCGATTACAAGGAACTATATGTGACCTCCTCCCTGGGGGACGGACAGCAGAAAAGTGGATGAAGGGAGACGTCGGACAGGGCAAGATATGACAAAATAATAATTTATAAATTATCAAGGGCTCATGAGGGAGTGGGGAGCAGGGAGGGAGGGGAAAAATGAGGACCTAATGCCGGGGGCTTAAGTGGAGAGAAAATGTTTTCAGAATGATGTACAAATGCGCTTTATACAATTGATGCGTGTATGGATTGTGATAAGAGTTGTATGAGCCCCTAATAAAATGATTAAAAAACAAACAAAAAACCAAAACAAAGTATTGCTACTGAACCAAAGATTAAGAACTTATAAATTTGTTATATTTACTCTTACTTTATTTTCCATTTATGTATTTTCTTTGGAAGCTAAGGTGCATTAGTTCAGAGATCTTCTGTAATGATAAATCCATCCTTGGCTTACTTACATAAAATTTTTATTGAAATGATTTTAAAACCAGCCATACATAATGATAAGCTTGGGAAGACGAAGTATCAGAAGCGTTCAAAGACCTGGAGTTAAAAAGTAAAAGGGTACAACTCCCTCAGCATTTCTTAATCTAAAAGACTTACAGAAATAATTGAAGCCTGGACTTTGAATCGTGAAGGATTCCATAGGCCAAAATTTGAATAATGCAGGAAGTATACATAAAAAAGGAAGTAATACACAATCATTGTACCAAAAAAAATTTATTTGAGTTCAGGAAAAAAAACTTAAGATATTAAAGGAAGAAGTACAAGCTGCACTGAAGGCATTGATGAAAAATAAAGCTCCAGAAATTGATGGAATACTAGTTGAAATGTTTCAGCAAATGGATGCAACTCTGGAAGTTCCCACTCATCCTTGCCAACTGATTCAAAGAGATTCCTATTTGTGCCCATGTGACAGAATGGTTACCCAGCAGAATGTATACATTATCAAACAATCATATTAATATCATATGCAAGGAAAATTTTGATGAAGATAATTTAAAAATGGTTACAGCAGTAAATTAAGCAGGAACTGACAGAAGTTCAAACTAGAGTCAGAAGAGGATGTAGAATGAGGGAATATTATTGTTGATGTTAGATGGATCTTGGCTGAAAGCACAGAGATGTTTACATGTGTTTTGTTGACTATGTAAAGCCATCTCACCGTGAGGTTTATAACAAATAATGGATAATATTAAAAAGAATTGTGCTTATGTGGAACTGTACATATACTAAGGGAGTTGATTCAGCAGAACAAGGGTGTACTGCTTGATATAAAATCAGGAAAGGTGTTTGTCAAGGTTGTATTCTTTTATCATAGTTACATTCTGTATGCTAAGCAAGTAATCCAAACATGACTGTATCAAGAAAACATGGCATCAGGATTAGAGTAATGTGTATTTAGCAACCTGCAAAATAAAGGTGACATAGCCTGGCTTGGAGAAAGTGAAGAAGCACTTACTGATGAATATTGAAGACTATCCACCCTTCAGTATAGATACATCATAAAATAAAAAATCTTCACAACTGTACTGGTTAGCCACATTATGGTAAGCGGAGTAAAGGCTGAACTTGTCAGGAATTTAATTTTATCTTTAACCAACACCCATGGAAACAACAGTCAAGAAATCAAATGACATATTGCAGTGGGCAAATTTGTTGGCAAAAGACTATGTTTTCTTTACAGTGTTAAAAAGAGGTCAGAGCTAGTGATAAGGACTCGCTGAGAAGAATTGGAAGGAGCTCTAGTGGCACGGTGGATTATGTGTTGGACTGTCCATCCCAGGTCAGCAGCTCCGAAGTACCAGATGCTCTGCTGGGGAAGGATGAGGCTTTCTGTTCCTGTAAAGATGTACAGCTGTAGAAAAACCACAAGGGCAGTTCTCCTCTGTCTTAAAAGGGCGCAATGAGTTGGAATCTGCACAGTGGCAATGAATTTTAAGAGTTCATGCATTTGAATTAGGATGTTGGTGAAAAAGATTGACCACACCATGTACTGCCAGAAAACCAAACAGATCTGTGTTGGAAGAAAGACACCCAGAATGCTCCTTAGACATGAGGATGGTGTGTCTTCATCTCCAGTACTTTAGTCATGTCATCAGGAAAAACCATGGTGAAGCAGAAAATTGAGAAAAGAAGACAGCACTTAAAGAGATTGATCGACACAGTGAATGCGATAATAGGCTCTAATATAGCATGTATTTTGAGGATGAGGCAGGACTGAGCAGTTGTTTATTCTGCTGTACATAAGGTACGGTGAGGCCTAAATGACCCAGTGATACCTAACAATAGCAATATAAGGAAGCTTCAGAAATTTGTGGAAAAATTGAATAACGGAATTTGTAAACACGGGGAGGAAATTGGATAAATGATGTGACATTTAAGGGCTTATAGCCATTGAAATGAAAACATTGTGTATGAATTGTTGAATGTAACTGATATTCTGCACTGCAAGCTTTACTTTCATCCACTTTACAATGAGAAGTTTAAAAAAGCAAAAAATAAGATAATTGAATTTATCCATGAAATTTTGAGGCCTTCTACATAAAATTATTAGTAACTAATTTCTATGCAGGCATTCATGCATATGTGATCTCCTTTCTGTGTTTGTGAAAATTTCTGTAGTTTTTAACTTATGCTTAAGATTGGGTCTGATTGATCCTCTTAGCAGATGTTACTGTGTTAAACTACTTTTCACTTAATCATTCCTCTACTTTTAATGCTATTTCCATTAAAACTAAG